TTTTAAATTTGACCAGAGAGAGAGAGAGAGAGAGAGAGAGAGAGAAAGAGAGAAAGCAAGCTGCCAGGTCTGGGACTTGAACCATGGTCACCCATGTGGGAGTCCAGTGCCTTCAACCACCATGCCACCACTGGCCCATTAATATTACTTTTTAATTTGGCCAGAGAGAGAGAGAGAAAGGGAAAGTCAGAAAGCAAGCCACCAGGTCCAGGATTTGAACCACGGTTGGCCATGTGGGAGTCCAGCGCTCCCAACCACCATACCACCTGCTGGCCTGTAAAATTGAGGTTTTTTTTTTCTTTTAATTTTAAAATTTTATTTATTCATTCATTTATTTTAATTTGACCAGAGAGAGATAGAAAGTGAAAGTGAGAAAGCAAGCTGCCAGGTCCAGGACTCATACCATGATTGGCCATGTGGGAGTGTCCAGAGTCTTAACCACCATACCACCTGCTGGTCTCCAAACTGAGTTTTAAAAGTACATTCATGGGGAGCCGGCAGGAAGCATGGTGGCTAGGGTCCTGGATGACCACACCGCCAACTCTGATTTGAGTGCTGGACCTGGTGACTTGCTTTCTCACTCTCTCTCTTTCTGTCTCTCTGGTGAGTGCACATGTCCAACAGCAAATTAAAAAATAATAAGATAATTTTTTGGGAGAGGTTTTTGCTATAGGATACATACACTCACCAAAGAGAAAGGAAGTGAGAAACCGACGCCCAGGCGGGGTGGCCACACCCCAACCCTTTCTCCTCTATTCTCCTCTAGAGCTTTTGGCCCCAAGTTTCCACGCACCCAGCCTGAGTTTAAGCTGCCGGGTCTAGGACTTGAACTGCAGTCAACTATTTGGCAGTCCAGTGACACAACCATTACATCATCTGCTGGTCCCAAGAAATAACTATTTAAAAAAATACATATGTGTGGGACCAGCAGTTGGCGTAATGGCTATGTTGCTGGACTCCCACATAGTAGACTGCGGTTCGAGTCCCAGACCCAGCGGCTTAAACTCACGCCGGGCGCGTGTGTGTGCATGCCCAGGATCCCGAGAGGAGAATGGAGGAGAAGGGATTGCGGCGTGGCCATCCT